CAGTTTCAGGAGTTTTTGGGCTGAGGCGATGGGGTCGTCTGCAAATAGAGACAATTTGGCTTTGACCGTTCCTATTTGAATTCCCTTTATTTCTTTTTCTTGCCTGATTGCTCTGGCTAGAACTTCCAGTACTATATTGAACAGGAGTGGTGAAAGAGGGCATCCTTGTCTAGTGCTGGATTTCAAAGGGAACGCTTCCAGTTTTTGCCCATTCAGTATGATATTGGCTGTTGGTTTGTCATAAATAGATTTTATTACTTTGAGATACGTTCCGTCGATACCGAGTTTATTGAGGATTTTTAACATACAGGGCTTTTGAGTTTTGTCGAATGCCTTCTCTGCATCAATTGAGATAATCATGTGGTTTTTGTTGTTTCTGTTTATGTGGTGAATTACGTTTATAGACTTCCGTGTGTTGAACCAGCTGTGCATCCTCTGGTTGAATCCTACTTGATCATGATGGATAAGTTTTTTGATGTGCTGTTGCAATCGGCTTGCCAATATTTTATTGAAGACTTTTGCATCTATATTTATCATGGATATTGGCCTGAAGTTTTCTTTTCTTGTTGGGTCTCTGCCGAGTTTTAGTATCAGGATGATGTTGGTCTCATAAAATGACTTGGGAAGGATTCCTTCTTTTTGGATTATTTGGAATAGTTTCAGAAGAAATGGTACCAGCTCCTTTTTGTGTGTTTGGTAGAAGTCAGCTGTGAACTCGTCTGGACCTGGGCTTTTTTTGTGTGGTAGGCTCTTAGTTGCTGCCTCGACTTCTGCCATTGTTATTGGTCTATTCATAGTTTCAGCTTCCTCCTGGTTTAGGTTTGGGAGGACACAGGAGTCCAGGAATTTGTCCATTTCTTCCAGGTTTACTAGTTTATGTGCATAGAGTTGTTTGTAATATTCTCTGATGATGGTTTGAATTTCTGTGGAATCTGTGGTGATTTCCCCTTTATCATTTTTTATTGCATCTATTTGGTTGTTCTCTCTTTTCTTTTGAATCAATCTGGCTAGTGGTCTATTTTGTTGATCTTTTCAAAAACCAGCTCTTGGATTTTTTGATTTTTTGGAGGGTTTTTTGTGTCTCAGTCTTTTTCAGTTCAGCTCTGATCTTAGTTATTTCTTGTCTTCTGCTGGGTTTTGAGTTTTTTTGATTTGCTCCTCTAGCTCTTTCAATTTTGACGATAGGGTGTCATTTTTGGATCTCTCCATTCTCCTCATATGGGAACTTACTGCTATATACTTTCCTCTAGAGACTGCTTTAAATGTGTCCCAGAGATTCTGGCATGTTTTGTCTTCGTTCTCATTGGGTTTGAAGAACTTCTCTATTTCTGCCTTCATTTCGTTGTTTATCCAATCAACATTCAAGAGCCAGTTGTTCAGTTTCCATGAAGCTGTGCGATTCTGGGTTGGTTTCTGAATTCTGAGTTCTAACTTGATTGCACTATGGTCTGAGAGGCTGTTTGTTATGATTTCAGTTGTTTTGCATTTGTTGAGCAGTGCTTGACTTCCAATTATGTGGTCAATTTTAGAGTAGGTGTGATGTGGTGCTGAGAAGAATGTATATTCTGTGGATTTTGGGTGGAGAGTTTGTAAATATCTATCAGGTGCTTGCTCCAGGTCTGAGTTCAAGCCCTAGATATCCTTGTTGATTTTCTGTCTGGTTGATCTGTCTAATATTGACAGTGGAGTGTTAAAGTCTCCCACTATTATTGTGTGGGAGTCTAAGTCTCTTTGTAAGTCATTAAGTACTTGCCTTATGTATCTGGGTTCTCCTATATTGGGTCCATATATGTTTAGGATCATTAGCTCTTTTTGTTGTATCGATCCTTTTACCATTATGTAATGGTCTTCTTTGTCTCTTTTGATCTTTGTTGCTTTAAAGTCTATTTTATCACAGATGAGAATTGCAACTCCTGCTTTCTTTTGCTCTTCATTTGCTTGGTAAATCTTCCTCCACCCTTTATTTTGAGCCTTTGTGTATCCTTGCATGTGAGATGGGTTTCCTGAATACAGCACACTGATGGGTTTTGGCTTTTTATCCAATTTGCCAGTCTGTGTCATTTGATTGGTGCATTTAGTCCATTTACATTTAGGATTAATATTGTTATGTGTGAATTTGATACTGCCATTTTGATGCTAGCTGGCTGTTTTGCCCATTAGTTGTTGTAGATTCTTCATTATGTTGCTGCTGTTTAGCATTTAGTGTGATTTTGGAATGGCTGGTACTGGTTGTTCTTTTTTATGTGTAGTGCCTCTTTCAGGAGCTCTCGTAAAGCAGGCCTGGTGGTGACAAAATCTCTGAGTACTTGCTTGTTTGCAAAGGATTTTATTTTTCCTTCACTTCTGCAGCTCAGTTTTGCTGGATATGAAATTCTGGGTTGAAAGTTCTTTTCTTTAAGGATGTTGAATATTGGCCCCACTCTCTTCTCGCTTGTAGAGTTTCTGCCGAGAGATCTGCTGTGAGTCTGATGTGCTTCTTATTGTGGATGACCCGACCTTTCTCCCTGGCTGCCCTTAGTATTTTCTTCTTTATTTCAACCTTGTTGAATCTGACGATTATGTGCCTTGTGGTTGCTCTTCTTGCGGAATATCTTTGTGGTGTTCTCTGTATTTCCTGCAATTGAGTGTTGGCCTGTCTTGCTAGGTTGGGGAAATTTTCCTGGATAATGTCCTGAAGAGTATTTTCCAGCTTGGATTCATTCTCTTCGTCCCCTTCTGGTACACCTATCAAACGTAGGTTAGGTCTTTTCACATAGTCCCACATTTCTTGGAGTTTGTTCATTTCTTTTTGCGCTTTTTTCTCTGATCTTGGTTTCTCGTTTTATTTCATTAAGTTGATCTTCGACTTCTGATATTCTTTCTTCTGCTTAGTCAATTCGGCTATTGAAACTTGTGCATGCTTCACGAAGTTCTCGTATTGTGTTTTTCAGCTCCTTTAATTCATTCTTATTCCTCTCTAAGGTATCAATTCTTGTTATCAGTTTCTCAAATGTTTTTTCAAGGTTCTTAGTTTCTTTGCATTGATTTAAAACATGTTCTTTTAGCTCACAAAAGTTTCTCATTATCCACCTTTTGAAGTCTAATTCCGTCATTTGTCACAGTCATTCTCCACCCAGCTTTGTTCCCTTGCTGGTGAGGAGTTTTGGTCCTTTCTAGGCGGCGAGGTGTTCTGGTTTGGGGTGTTTTCCTCCTTTTTGCGCTGGTTTCTTTCCATCTTTGTGGATATATTTACCTGTCGTCTGTGTAGTTGCTGACTTTTCGATTGGGTCTCTGAGTGGCCACCCAGATTGTTGATGATGAAGTATTTCTGTTACTTGGTTTTCCTTCTACCAGTTTAGCCCCTTCACTGTACGACTGCTGAGGTCCACTCCAGGCCCTGCTTGTCTGGGTTGCACCTATAGCAGCTGCCGAACAGCAAGGGATGCTACCAGTTTTTTTTTCTGCTATCTTTGTTCCAGTATGATACCTGCCAAATGTCAGTCTTTTGGATATAGAGGGGTCAGGGAGCTGCTTTAGGAGACAGTCTGTACTTTATAGGAGCTCAAGTGCTGAGCTGTGAGCTCTGTTGTTCATTCAGGGCTGTTAGGCTGAAAAAAATTCTTTTTTTCTCAGATGCTTTGTCTGGGGGGCATTGGGGCTTTCCTTGTGAGTGTCCAGCTCACTGTCCTGCCCAGCTAGGAGGCAGTCTAGTCACTCTTTGCCTGCCGAGGCTCTGCCCTGCTGGCGTGAGGTTCACCTTGTTGCTGCAGGCTCTGCCTATCTGCTGCAGTCTCTGCTGTGTTGCCATGGGCTACGCCCTGCAGCAGAGTCTCTCTGTTGTACCAGGTTGCCTCAGCAACAGCAGGCTGCGTCAGCAACGGGCACATACCTCAGTAGGGGCTGATTGTCTTGGTAATGGTAGACGCCCCTTTCCCACAGAGCTGCGCTTTAAGAAAACCTTCTCACCAGGAGCATTTGAAATCGCCGTTTAGTTTGTCGCACTGCGCTTCCCCAAACGCTGTGTCCCTGGGATTTCCTGGGCTGGCTCACTGTCCATGTCCTGTTCAGTCTCAAGTTCAGCCCTTTCAGGTCTCAGTTTGCCTGGTCAGCAGGGCACCTGTAACAGTGCGCTTTTGTATGGAGCACTGTGGAGCACCTCTGTGCTCCGGCATGGGCCAGAGCCGCACTGGCTGCCGGCTACACCGTCCAAGAACTCTTCCTGGCATTCTGCGTCTCTTTTATACCTGGGAATTTCCCCGTTCTGTGGGCAACTTAGATCCGTCTGGAAATGCATCCCCGACTCACCCTCTCCGCGTATCCAGCGAGAGCTTCAATCCTGGGTTGTTCTCACAACGCCATCTTGAGTCATCCTTGAAAAGCTTTTTAATTTTTTTTTTTTACTTCGTAGAAACTATAGATTTCAAATGAAGAAACTCAGTCTCTGTCCCCTTATTTCTGCTTCTCTGATTTATATTTTTCTGTGTTTTCCACTGGCTGTTTTTAACATGCTATTTTCAGTGGAAATTCTGATATATGTTGTCTTGCTTTATTCAGCCTATAGATCTTGACTGAATGCTCTATGACAGGTATTGTGCTAGGAGCTGTGGTTGAGAAATTAGAATAGCTTGGCATTCAATGATTATTTAAAGTGATCCTATGAAAGTTATGTGAAAATCTAGATTAAATTCATAAATGGACTACCATCTTCAGTTAGTATATTGGTTAGGTTTTCACAATAGTCCAGTGGATGGCCTCACAACACAAATCAATTCATACATATTTCATTTTGGAAAGTGCATATAAAAATCTGATTGATCAATAGGTAGATAATCTTATTATAATAGTCACTCAAAATCCTAACTCTTAGCATTTTCTACCACTTATGTTGCTTATTTCTGATTTCTAGTAGAAAAACAAGGAGAACATAATGAGATATTACAAGTAGGCAGAAAAATACAGATGCACATAGTTTACAGACCCTTCAGGCCATCTTGTAACAAAGTCTTGATCATTTTTCTTAGACCAGAAGATCAATTCAGAAGTTAATAGAATGGGAAAATAACAGATTATATCACAAGGTAAGAAATTTTAAGTAAATATGTGCCCCATTCATATATTTACAGTATTAAATTGAAAAAAAAAACAAAATGGGAATTTTTTAGGCCACAAAGGAATGGATTAAAGAACTGATACTCAATTTTTAATATATATTCTTTACAAGGTATTTTTAAGTGCTCTATTTTGTATCCTGTAGTTTCCCTGGATTGTTTTCAGTGATTTATTCAAATGTATAGGTTGTAATTAGTTTAAGTTAATATAAAAATTCTTAACAAGACTATACTTTCTTAGCTTGCTTTGCACTGGAAGTTGACTAAGAGGAAATGTGAAACTAGCAATATGATGGAGTATGTAAGTATGAGGCTGTTTTTAATTATTTTTTGATTCATTCTAAATTTATCATTTCCCTATGTTTATTATTTGTCAACTATTTCTTCTTTTTTCCTCCTCAGCCAGAACATTTTTTCATTGAAATATAGAGGTTTTCTCCTATCTTCTTTAGATTTTTAGCCAACCTAAAATATCTTGAAAGCTAACCATCATTTGAATCTTAGAAAAGTTTCAGTTGGTATGCTGAAATGAAAACATTGTACAACCTCAATCCTCTTTTAACGTAGGCACAAACCGTAGCATGTGGTGATGGGGAAAGCTTCTGTTGAACAAAATATTTCTAAATGTAATCTAGTCAAAACTTGCATAAAATAGGAATTAATGTCTGAATTCTGGATTTCTGTTACTGGCTTTTTTTCCCTGGCTGACATTTAAATTTTAGTGAAAAACATAGGTTCTAATTGTATTTTAACTGAAAGCTATGCAGTCTTAGCATAAATTTGCATGCAGCCCATATGATCAATTTAGCATCATTAACATTGAAAAGAATATTAAATTTATCCAAGCTTTCAACATGTAGTATATATTTAACAACAAACTTTCCATGTGTATTTCATGAGTAAGGATTATTATGGTATCTCTCTCCACTTTGAATAATTTTGAGGAAAATGTGCAAATGACCACAAGTCTAAAAATTCATTATAGATAAAGCATTCAAAAATATCCAAGTTTTTAAAAAATGTATTTCTAAACCTCTTTGTAATTAAAATGTTTTACTCAATCCATTTGGATACATTATTATTTTTCACAACTTATGAAAGGTAATAATCTCCAGTTGCTTTAATTGAAAATAATCTCAGTTGCTTTAATTGAAAAATATGTCTAATATAAAGGTGTTTTTAATTTGTATAGCATTTTTTTTATCTCTTCTACTTTGCTAACAAAAAGATAGGGGTGTGAGGGAAGAACATAAAATAATAGGGTTTGCTCCTCTGAACCTAGACAAATAGTTTTTGTAAGTCAGATAGTAAAATCTGTTAGCTACAATAAGTGGTTTTGTTTGCCAGCATAATTTTTAAATTGCCAATCTAATAACAACTTGTAATTTAAGTTCTTTACATAATTTTTTCATGTATTTCACTTTATATGATAAAGGATTGAAATATTGTCATATGTAAAATGATTATAGATTTTCTGGGTTATTTATAAGTTATATTAAATAAAAAATATTTTGTCAATATATTCTTGTTTTTATTTTACAGGTAATACTAATAGAATTCTTACCAAAATATCCCATATTTCGACCTGACTGAGGAGTTTTATCTAGTCACTTCTGTGTTACCTGTCATTTCCTACCCTTAGTGCCTTGTAGATTTGGAATGAAGATGGTCTCCTTTGCTGTGTTCAACTTATTCTTTATAATGGTAGAATATACTTCTCGTTCTTTTGTGTTGGTTTATGAAGAAAATTTGCATATCTTTTTTGTTGTTAAATGAGGCTTGTGTTTTGCACTCTCAATTTTAAATAAGTACACACACGTGTGTGTCCATATACATATGTAGATAGTTGCCATTAAAGATAAATCATCAGTGCTGCTGTTTAAAAACAAAAACTTATTCTGAGCATGCTGCCTTATAATTTTCATACTTATTGATCTAAACTCGCATCATTTTTCTAGGCTACTTGATGCTCTGTAATCCCTTACTGGACAAACTTAAATAAGCTTTTGGTAGCTTCTAGAAATGGTTTTACTCTGCTTTTAAAGAAAATGCTTTAAAAGGACATGCAATTAATGGCACTGGTTTTGTCCCGCACTTTGCTTTATCACTTCTGTTAGTGGATAAAATATTTAAACTCCTAAAGACTTGTAAATATCGCCTCTTGGCATAATGTAAAATGTGGTATGCCATGGTTTACACAACGCAATATTACTCTTACTGTATTGCCAACAATTTTACATAGATTTTAATATGAATAAAGTTCGCAAGCATCCCTTTGAATCTAGAGACTGCTGACATGCTGTTTTATGGCAAGGCCATAATGACTTCAGGTGTAGGGCAAGTTTGCCCTTTGTAATAAGTGGATTAAAATCGAAATCATTATCTCAGATATTATGTATTGCACCTGAGACCATGATCTTTATTTTTTCCATTTCATTTAATAATTTCCATTTTGTTCTCTACTCCTTTCCACAAAAATACTGTTTGACATCTGACACATTTCACAATCTCACTATCCTTCATTATTTCTTTTTTTGTAGCCATTTCCTCCTTTGAAAATACACACAATTATGACCTTTAAGGAGTATTTTGAGATTTTAGATGTCTTCAGAAGGTATCTAGACCCCCTTGAAAGCCATTAACCCCTTTCTGGAGTTCTGATATTGTAGTTTGAGAAAGAGAGAGAACTAATTGAGAATCTGTAGCTACAGAGTATATAACAGCTGATTAATAATTGAAAAAAATATTCTCAATTTTGTTTTTAAAGATCTTTTTAAAAATATTTAGATACCGAGGAAGAAAGACAAGTGTTTAGATGAAAGTATTTTAGTTTATAAATTCAGCACATATGTAACATTATTTGGTATATATTTCTCTATTTTTCTTCACAATTAAAATGATTGCTAGAACCATACACTAGAATTTGAAAATTCAGTATAATGAAAGCTTTATATCACATTAATTCAACTGCAAATGTATGCCTGTTTGTAGGCATTATTTGTAATTCGTAGTGCTAAAAAGAAATGTCTAGGGCTGAATAATATTTTTTTTGTCATCTTACTCTTACTGTTTTTAGTAAACCTTTTAGGCAAGATTCATCTCAGTGAAGTGAAAATCATTTCTTTATACAAGGTCAAGCCTTTTTTTTTTTTTTTTTTTTTTTTTAAGGTCAAGCCTTTTTAAGCCACTCTTAAAATTTATATTTGACCAGTTTAAAAAAAGAGGAAAAGAAGACGCTATTTGATATGTGGTTATAATTGTTTGCACAAACACTTTTCCACCTTTCGCTGTAGAGCCCTTTTACCTCCATGCCACTCAGCCACCCTAAATCTCTAACCTTTAATAATAATGTGTATGCCTGCAAATATCACATGTTTGTCTGCCTCAAAATTGAAGGTGTATTTTTATGGACAAGGTAGAAGCCTCTGAAAATGTATACCAAATGTCTTGTTTTATAGCTAAGGTCAGGAAAAATTGTATCTGAGGTTTATGTTCCAGCTAATGTCATTAAATTTATGCTTCAAACTGATACTTTAATAACAAAATTGATTTTCAGCATAATACAAAATGTCTCATTATCACTGATAGAATAATTCCTTTTGTTAATCCTTAAAAATCTTACTTTTTTCTGTAACCTTAGAATTTGATCATACAATAGTAACTTTTCTACCACGTATAAATCACACTTGGCTTTGCACAAAGAACAGCAGGAAATGGTGAATTGTTTTATGAAACAATTATTGAGAATGGGAATAAGGTGTATCTGGAAATGACACAGTATAATTTACCTGCAGTAGCATTTGTCACAAAAATCATGTGTCAGTATGTATGAACTTAATTTTAAAGCCTATTCTAGTCTCTCAAGTTTATTGTTTTATTGTTCATTATGCTGATTGACTCATTTTAGTTTCTTGAACTACCCAAAAAATACCAATTTTTTTTCTCTTTTTTGAAAAAAATATGACTACTTTTTCAAACTGTTTTTCTTTGCAGGGGCTGATTAGCAATTGGATATTTGTAATGTTTTGGGGGGTTGCTTTGTTTTCAGTGAAATTGGTTGCAGTGAATGCTAAAATCACCACAGCATACTGTGGTGATTAATTCCTCTCCCATGGAGCCTTTTCTCTGGTATGCTTAGGATAGAACATACTTGTAATTTTCCATTAGTAACATACTTTTGTGAAAGTTGTTTTTAGACTGAAGAAAGTAATTTTGTATTTCTTTGTTTCATAATATTCCTTTATGAAACTTGTGATAGTTTCCAGAGAAAAATAACATGTATTTGCCAAAGTATATAAATCTCACAAGGCATTGAGGTTACAAGCTAAAATTGTGTTTTGAAATTAACGTTTCAATGTCTCTCATTTAGCCCAAGATTCTGGCTTAATAAATTTGTCAAACTTGCTATTTTTAAGCTTGTCCTAAAGGCCAATAACATGTTTATCCCTAATAACTAATATGGGCAAGTGTAATTTACAGATTTATTAACTCCATCCCAGATATATCTCCACTCTTTGTTCCTTCCAAACACTTATGTTATATTTAGGAAAGAGACAGCTGTAGTAAAACTTTAGAAGAAGATGGAGAAGTGCCTCATCTTTCTAGAACAAAGTTATCACATTAAGCTTAAGAAAACATAATAAATTGGTAGATCATTAGATCATTAGAAATCATCCTTTTCAACTAGGTCTAAGAATATGTTATTAGTATATTATCTTTTATTGATTATGCAAAGCCTCTTTCCTTCTGTTTCCCCAGTCATGAAATATTAGTGATAAGATATAACAGAACAAGACTCTCAGTCACTTAAAAAATAGTATAATTTGGCCAGGCGTGGTGGCTCACACCTGTAATCCAGCACTGAGGGAGGCTGAGATGGGTGTATCATGAGGTTAGGAGTTCAAGACCAGCCTGAAACCCCATTTCTACTAAAAATATAAAAATTAGCCGGGTGTGATGGTGTACACCTGTAGTCCCAGCTACTCAGGAGGCTGAGGTAGGAGAATGGCTTGAACTCAGAAGGTGGAGGTTGCAGTGAGCTGAGATCATGCCACTGCACTCCAGCCTGGTGAGAGAGGGGAGACTCCATCTCAAAAAAAAAATAGTGTAATTCTAATGCTAGTAAACATGTATTTAAAGTAGTTCTGGAAGGACAGTTGTCTTGATTAAAGCTCTACCAAAACCCACTTAAGTATTTAATGTACATACTGGTCATATTTTTATGGCCTGTAAACACTAATATCTGAGCAATTAATCAAACTATTTTATCACTCTGCTATTTTTAATGAAATTTGAATAAAGTTTAAAAATGTGTAAGCCTTTGAACAAATGTATAAAAGTTTTAAAAGATTATTAGCATTTTTATTTTATTTACAAATAAGCTGCCAAAAAAAAAACTCACTACTTGAACATAAAGCTTCCAAACAATATTTTATTAAAATGTACTCTATTGACCTAGGAGGATATAGAATATTCACCTGATTAACTGGATCAGTTTCACATAGTGGAAATACTTTTTGCTAATTTGATTATAAGTGCTCAAATTTATTGAAATTAGATCCTCTTATGCCTATAAAAGTATGCTTTAAAAATATTTTGCAACAACCATCAAATTATCTGGGTTCCTTTAAATAGAAAACAATTGGGGAATTTTCACAAAAATGAATAGGTTTTATTAATAACTGTTCATGTAGTCTGTAGACTTAAACAAGTGATATCTATCTATATATAAAATGAATAATCTTATCTTTCCCCAAATTTTTCTTACCTGATTCTGAGCCAGCCTTTTGTTTTGATGGCAGCCTGTGTGTATGTTCCATTTTCTGTGAACTTTGTCACGTTCATACTATATGAGGAAATGATCTAATATTGTGGGCCCCAGGCAGGTCATCTTAATTGCATGTTATCTCTTTTCCTGTAAAATTATGCGGTGGAACCTAGAGCTGGGAAGAAAATTAGAGATCACTTAACATTTTGTGATTCTATAAATTCTTAGGATATTTTTACTCTAGAATCTCAGAATGATTATTCTCAGATCTACTGTCCTTGGTGGAAACTCTCACAGTGCCTTGCATGCAGTAAAAGTTTGATTGCAACTGGCTGCTAGCTAACGTGTGTTAATTATCACACAGACTCCCAAGAACCTGATGCCTTAGTTCCTTGGTGATGCTAAGAGTAAATACAGTTTTCCTAGGAACTGAGCACTGAGGTCTGTGTGCTTTGCCTGTGTGGAATCTGTCTCTGCAGTTGGTATTCAGGCAAGAATTATAGCTGTAACAACAATGGAAATATGGGAGGACCCAATTTGACATTTATGTAAAGATTTCATATTCTATCCAATGTCTACTTTAGTGTCTTATCAAATTCCATACCCTCAAACAGATCTGTTGGAACATATTGATAAAATTAGATATAAAGGAAAGTGGTATGCAATTCAAACCCAAGTCACTTCTGGTTTAGTTATTGGCTCTGCTGCATAATTCCTCTGTACCTCATGTCCTCATTGTTGAAGTGGGGACAATAATCTGTACCTACCTCACAGGGGAATTGAGGATATTTTCATATATTAGTGTGCTTTGAAGTTGACTGAAAGATATACTGGATATCATAATTATATAATTTCTAAATAGATTTCTTTAAATCCATGCTATATTTTCTTCCTCAGTCAGGTCCTACAGAATGACTGTTGCAGTTGATCTATTGTTTTAATTATAAATCTTGTTATTAATCCCCTATGTGTTAAAAATGAGTGATTATATTATGCAATACTGGATTTAGAGAGGAAAAGCAGGTGGATGTAACCAATGGTTCCCAACTTCCATGGATGAAGACAGCAGTGGGGGGTATCCTTGAAGTTTTTTTTATTTTTCAAAAAGTGTATTAGAAATCTTACATTTACCCATAGTATTCCTGATTTACAAGCCAATTGAGACATTGAATTTCCATGCATTTTGCCTGTGTTTCTCTCAATTCTATGTCATTACTGCTTGCTTAGTATCAACTGATCAAAAGCTGTGAATGACAGTATGCTTTTGATTAACAATAAAATAAGAAAGCCTATTATGTGCAACTTATTAAATACTTGAAAACATGAGAAAGGAATAATGAAGGGATTCTTAGGCTAAAAACGTTGGGAATCACTTTATAAAGGAACTAAGATTATTTGACCCTCTCCACAGATTATTTACCTAGTCTCTAAATAATGAAATGTGTGTGTGTGTGTTTTGGCTATATTAGGTTATATAACTTCAGCTTAGAATTTGCCTTTTGTTTTTCCTTCTGTTTCAGAATGTAACTGGCCTAATTTATTTAGGTGTGTACATGTTACTCATACATGCACATACATATAGGATTACAAATGTGGAAAGTGTTATAATGTCATATTCTATCATTGGACTAAGTATTAATTCCTAATTCTTAAAGTAGTTCTGTATATAAATTCAACATGATGAATCAAGGCAATAATTTCTCAAATGTTCCTTTCATTTCTTTGTTTTTATCTTGGCTTTTTTTTTAATTTTCCATTTTTTCTAGTACACAAAGAGTGTAAAGTTGTTTTAATGCCTCGACTTTGAAACAAGTAACAAGTGTTTGAAATTATACAATCTGCAAGTGAATTTGCCCTCCTTGGACCAACCACATACAAATATGAATCTGGCTGCAAGAACAGGATATCCAGATAACTAGAAAGCGGGCATTGATAAAAATATCTGGTGGAGAAGCATAGGATTTTGACTTTTTGTCAGAGGATTCCTGTTGGGACAGTTTTACCAGAAAAGAGTAATAGTGGATATGTCCATCCAAACTAAGAACTTTTATGCATCTTGTATTGTTACATAGCCTGTGGAATGAATTCATTTTTTCTCCCTTGAGTCCAGGAATGACTTTCCTGGAAAAACTCAATCTATTTACAGCTGTGCCAAAATGAAGGATACCTGCCTCTCTGAAACTTTCACTGCTGCTTCTGTCATTGTTCACTTGTCAGACAAAATTTTATTATCTCAGGATGCAAAATTAAAATAAAGTGTAAATCTATGTTAATGAATTGAATTATGTGTTTTTGTCATTTTTTATGCATCTTCCTTTCTTCTCTTTCCTTTATATCCATCATTATAAGGCAATTAATTGAGGCTTCCTTTTAAAACTTGTATTTTATATCTGGCCTTTTTCCACATTTACTAGTGTTATGTTCAATCCTATAAGTAATTTATGTTATAAAGACATGCCTCAGAGAATTGTGAATTCAGTTGCAGATAACCACAATAAGCTACACAAATTTTGGGGTTTCCCAGTGCATAGAAAAGTTGTATTTACACTACAATGTAGTTTGTTAAGTATGCAATAACATTATGTCCCAAAAAAGTACATACCTTAATTTAAAAATGCTGTATTGCTTAAAAATACTAGTGATCATCTGAGACTTCCACAGTCATAATATTTTTGTTGGGGGAGATCTTGTCTCAGTGTTGATGGCTGCTGACTGATGGGGCAGGTCATTGCTTAAAGTTAGGGTTGCTTTTGCAATTTTCTAAACCAAGGCAGTGAAGTTTGCCATATTGCTTGATTCTTCTTTTCACAAATGATTGCTCTGCAGCATGCAATACTGATTGATAGCATTTTACCCACAGAACTTTCAAAATTGGAGTCAGTCCCCTCTGACCTAGCTACTACTTTATCAGCTATGTTTATGTAATACTCTAAATAATTTGTTGTCATTTCAACAGTATTCACAGCATTTTCACCAGGAATAGATTCCATCTCAAGAAACTACTTTTTTGCTAATCTGTAAAATAAGCATCCATTCAAGTGTTATCATGAGATTGCAGCAATTCAGTCACATCTTCAGGCTCCACTTCTAATCCTCTTGATGTTTTTACCACACCTGCAGTTGCTTCCTCCACTGAAGTGTTGAACCTCTCAAAGTCATCCATGAGGGTTGGAATCAACTTCTTCCAAACTCCAGTTAATGTTAATATTTGACATTCTATGAATCACAAATGTTTTTAATGGCACCTAGAATGGTGAATCCTTTCCAGTACATTTTCAATTTACTTTGCCCAGAGATCAATCACAGGAATCACTATGTATGGCAGCTATAGCCTTACAAAATAGATTTCTTTAAAAACATGAAAGTTGAATTACTTGTTGATCCATGGGTTGCCAAATCAATATTGTGTTAACAGTCATGAAAACACTAATTTTCTATACATCTCCATCAGAGCTTGGGTGATTAAGTGCATCATCAAAGAGCAGTAGTATTTTAAAAGGAATCTTTTTTATTCTGAACAGTAGGCCTCAGCAGTGAACTTAAAATAGTAAGCCATGCTGTAAACAGACATGCTGTCATCCAGGCTTTGTTATTCCATTTGTAGGACATGCGCAGAAAGATTTAGCATAATTCTTAAAGGTCCCAGGATTTTTAGAATGATAAATGAGTATTGGCTTCATTAGCTTCTAACAAGAGAGTCAGCATGTCCTTTGAAGATTTTAAGCCAGGTATTGACTTCCCCTCTCTAGCTATGAAAGTCTTAAGTGGTGCCTTCTTTAAGTATAAGGCTGTTTCGCCTACATTGAAAATATGTTATTTAATGTAGCCAACTTCATCTATGATCTTAGCTAACTCTTCTGTATAACTTGTTGCTTCACCTTGCACTTTTATAGAAACAGCTTCTTTCCTTCAACCTTATGAACCAATCTCTGCTAGCTTCAAACTTTTCTTCTTCTTTCTCACCTCTCTCTGCTGTCATAGAATTGAAGAGAATTAGGGCCTTGCTCTGGATTAGGCTTTGCCTTGAGGGTGTGTTGTGGCTGGTTTGATCTTTGATCTTCTATCCAGACAATTAAAACTTTGTCTATTTCAGCAATAAGGCTGTTTTTGCTTTCTTGTCATTCATGTGTTCACTGAAGTAGCACTTTTTATTTCCTTTAAGGATTTTTCCTTTGCATTCACAACTTGCTAACTAGTGAAAGAGGCCTAGCTTTCACTTTCTCTTAGATTTATATATATATATTATATATATATATATATATAATACAAACATACACAAAGTTCTGGGGTACATGTGCAGAGCGTTCAGGTTTGTTGCATAGGTATATATACGACGTGGCTTTTGACATGCCTTCCTCACTAAACTTAATCATTTCAAGCTTTTGATTTAAAGTGAAAAACATGAATCTCTTTTATTCACTTGCACACTGAGAGGCCATTGTAGGCTTATTAACCGGCCTAGTTTCAATATCATTTTGTCTCCAGGAATAGGGAGGCCTGAAGAGAGAGCTGGGGGAACACCACATCAGTGGGAGTGTCAAAACACAACATTTATTAAGTTTGCTATCTTACATGAGTGTAGTTTGTGGTCCCCCAAAACAATTACAATAGTAATATCAAAGATCATTGATCACAAATCGCCATAACAGATTTTAATAATGAAAAGGTTTAAAATTCTGTAAGAATTATTAAACGTGACACTGAGACATGATGTAAGCACATGCTGTTGGGAAAAGTGGCACCAATAGACTTATTTCCACAAATCTTCACCTTGTAAAAACCACAATATCTGCAGAGCACAACAAAAGGAAACACATTAAAATGAGGTATGCTCATATATTAGGTTTGGAGACCTGTGTTGTACCCAGCATTTGGCATTTTCCTAAATAGGAAGTTATTTCTAAATGACTTTGCCTTTATTCTGCATAGCTGCCTTTAAACTGTAAACTTAAAGTACAAGTATAGTTCCACCTTAGCATAAATTTTTAGTGCAAGGATGTGGAAATGTGAAGCTACTTGGCAAACATTTTACTCTTCAGCAGATTGTGTAAGAAATCAAGTGTTAACGTTTTCTTCTTGAGTTACTACTCAGGCTGCTATATGCAATAATAGATTTTTTAAGGTTAGGCCTAATTTTTTGCAAATTCAAAGTACAACATATACAAGACAAACATTAATATTTCCCAATATATTTGGTAATTTTACTGAATATTTTGAAAAGACTATAAGTTTCAAAATGTTAAAACAGAGATGACAACACACTAAAACCTATATAAAAGTTTCACATGTAGTGTTTGGTTTTCTGTTCCTATGTTAGTTTGCTGAGGATGATAGCTTCCAGCTTTGTCCATATCCCTGAAAAGGACATGATCTCATTTCTTTAGATGGCTGCATACTATTCCATGGTGTATATGTATCACATTTTGTTTATTCAGTCTATCATTGATGGGAATTTGGGTTGATTCCATATCTTTGCTCTTGTGAATAGTGCTGTAATAACATACATGTGCATGTACTTTTGTAATAGAATGATTTCTAGTCCTTTAATAGTAATAGTTCCTTTAATGGTAATGGTATTGCTGGGTCAAATGGTAGTTATATTGTCTATTGAATATTGGTAGTTACTTATATATTAGCTACCAGTAAATATATAATTGGCAGTTTATTATATTGTCTATTGAACACTGGTTTTACATTTTAACATTTTTTCATATATCTATTCTTCAAAACTAAATTATGTTTGTATAGCAGTACAATGTATAAATACACTATAATTTAATTATTTCCCATTATTTGGTATTTAGTCTGTTTTCAGTATTTTGCTACAATGAATAATGACTTCATGAGCATCTTTAGACAGAAATCTTTGCCTTAATCTGATCATTTCCTTCATACTGTTTTCTATAAATTGATTATTGGTTGAAATGGGTATGAATTCTGTATTGCAAAATTGATTTAGGAAGGGCATGGGAGATACACTCTGAAACTGTTCAATGTCTTCTGCTGGATAGATAAAGAGAAATAAGAGCAGGAATTAACAAACACACTACTTAGAACTGCTAGTTGGGGTAGAGTGCAGGCAAAAAAAAAATTAGGTATAAAAGAGCCATCCCCAGCAGCTAAAAGTAGAATAGAGGATTCTTGATCCTCCAGTCAAAGGCACATGAAATACTATCAACCCTCAGTCCTGCAGAACTGTCACTAAAAATCAGTGAAATAAATTATCCGCTCTCAAATTCTATGACTTACAGAACTCTTATAGCTTAATAGAAAGCATCAGAAAAAAAATGTGTCAGTATATAAATATTTCCCTCCCATCTTTCAGCAATCAGATTGGAAAACAAACTGCTTACTCCTTCTTTCAAAGGCCATATTTTTCCTCACTGCTTCCCTTGATGATTTTTTAAATTTGACTTCACCTATTAAAATCTTGAACACGCTCTCTCCTCACATATTACTTGTCATATTCTGGGCCCCTCTAGGATTATTTTACACTCCCATAACATGGCTGACTCTTTCCTGTTTTATCCATTCTTGAAGCCAGGCATGATTCAGGGAAGGGAGCACTGGATTTAGTATAACTGCCTTTATGCTTCCTGCCTGCCATTTCCCTCTCTAGATAATCTTCAGAAAGTAAACTCTTTTAGCCTTGATTTATTTTATAAAATAGGAATAATATGACCTTTTGAATATAACTGTAAGGATTAAATAAGGTGACATTTGAAAAGACCGGGAAGATAAGAAATCACACTATTACTGTTTTAATGAACAATAATTTTATAATCTACGCTCTGATAAGCAACTAAATAATCCAATTCCTTTTTCAGGATCACCTGCTGGTTCTTAGGTTATATATGTTGACCTTTCACAACTCTGCCAAGGTAGAGATTAAGGGTTATTCCTCAGTTCTTTTTACTTAGGGGCACTCCTCAGGTTTTGGTCATTCCTTATATATGTGCATGGTCCCCTGCCATGTCTATACAGCATGTGATACCTATCTTCTGGAAGCTAACCCTCTACGATAGCACAGTTCATTGATTCATTCTTTCATTTATTCAATCAATATTTTGTGAGCAGTCATTATGTACTAGGTGCAGCATTAAGGATTATTCCTACACTGTTTTTTTTCTCCAGGGAAATATTCTTAGCCACTGTGCTATTATGTTATAGACTGCCTATAAATATACACGTATATATTTAAATACTTCATATACACAACAATATACTTGAATAAATACTTCTAATAGAGCATATTAAATAACAATCATTGTTTCTTGAGAAG